TATCTTCCATGCATATCTCTGGTATTCGCATTTAGTCACTTCTTTGCATGTATTGGGTGTAGACCCGATGAACAAGGATTCAGTAATCAGTCTCTCTCTATCTTAACCTACCTATGTTACTTCTTAGAATTTTAACCCTCTCCCACCATACTATTGTGTGGTTGTGTGTTAATGCATGCAGTGCGATGAAGTGCTGAGCTTTTTTCTGAATTACTTATCTTCTCGGGGTCAACCATTCTTACCTTAGTTTAATTCTTACGTTCCAAAAATCTGACTACACCCGACCTACTAGTTTGACCTATGTAGTTGACAGTACTTCAGACACTCAAAAGTCTCGGAATCTAACGCCACTCGTGTCACTTGATCTTACTCTAGAGGTCGATGTTCGATTTCCGGATGGTGAACAGCTAAACTTTGCCTAGTAAGCCTGAAAAAGAGCCGAAGTTAGGCATGAGGTTAGCAGCTGTGCCCCTTTAGAGACAACACTACTGTTAACCAAACTTCAAAGATCGAAGCTCTATGTTCCGCTTGGAACCTAAAGGAATGGGAAATAGCACTCATCTTAAAGAAGGTTTCCTGCTTTCAGGCGTGAAGGTAATAGATTCGTAAAGTAATTACTTTAATAAGTAATAAGACAAAGTGATACCGCATATTCCCTTCATCAACTCTATCAAGACGAAGTCAATTAAACTTATACCAAGGAATATAAATACTTCGGTTTTTTATAAAAGAAAACACGTTCAGTGAAGAGTTACTCTTCTCAATGATATCACTCATCTTCAAGCTCTACAGCTGCATGTATATAATAAATTTCCTTAGCAACAAAAGATATATTTTCAAAAATGTGTCATTAGAATGGCAAATTTTTGATAAGAATTTGAGTAGTATAAAAGGCGTTAATCAGGACGGAACTAAAATTAAATTAAATAAGTAAATTGAGTGACGTCAGTGGCTTAGAGAAAGAATACTTGCCAACCATGCTACATGTGATCCGGGGTTCGATCACCAGCCAACGCACTCCTTTACCGCAGTAAGTCTGTAATACGACTTGTAAAGAGCGAAGGTTGGGCATGAGGCTAGCAACGCCACCCCGTAAAAGAAATACCAATGCTACCGAAACTTCACAGCTCTAGCTTGAAGCTCAATGTTCCACTGGGAACGCAAAGGAATAAAATAAAGAATAATAAAAAATAAATTGAATGACGTGGTATAATTGAAGCTACTGAGTAGAATTCAACTGGAAATGAATGACAATCAAGTTAAAAATAGCGGTTATGAGGGTTAGAAATTTAATAGAGAATGAGGGAAGAAAATAATACAATTAAAAATAAAGTCAAAAATTACGTATATAGTGTTAAGGTAGATCATTTTAGCCATTTTCTGGCTACAAATCAACTAAAACGTAAGCGGTGAAGAGGACAACACTAATGACAGCAGAACTGAAAATCATTGAGATAAAATACAACATGCACTTAGAAAATCTTGTGCCATACACTGATATAACAACTTGCATGTAATATTTATATTATTATTCCCTCAGATTCCAAGTTGAATATAGGGCTTCAACAGTACATCTCCCCCTTACACGATCTCCTTCATGTCAACCTCAGACGTAAGACCAACTCGTCGTTTCCCATTAGAGTTCCAGTTCATGGGTCTAGCACTCTGTCACTCAACGGTCTGCTCAGCCTGTCCGAACCAGCTCTATTGCAATTAATATTATCCTTTCAGTATTAGTCCTAAATATTTACTCACCTTTGTCTGTTGCTTATCATATATTTCCACAGTCGTCATATTCTCCATAAGTTTCTTTTATCGGAGACGTTTCTGCTGACATACAAATCACCATTAATTCTGAGATTTAATTTGATGCACTACTTAATTCACGGTACAAGTAGTATCACGTAATATTATAAAAAAACCCTTAATTTTGAAACCAGAATGTTATGCCACTGGAAATTCATGAAATACTAAAGCATTTGATCATGATGTAAGCATTTAAAGTTGAAATTAATTATTTATAAATAGTTAACTGGGATGAAATATGATGAAAAATTCATGCAGTAACGAATATTAAGTAATTTTATTTTTAAAACAATTAGTTCCCTTTATGAATTCAGACAAAGCAATAAGAAGACGTAATTTGTCTGAATATTAAGTAATCAAGTGGACGTGAACAGATGAATATTACATGAGGATATGAAAAGAATTATGCCTAAATGGCTACTTGACTGAGTCAGTACCAGTATATCAAAACATGCAGAATATAAGTAGTATGTGATCCATTCAAAGCATTTTTTTAACACAACAAAGTTATTGGATCAAAATGCGCATTTCGCAAGTTAGTTTACCAGTAGTAATCTGCATACTTCGGTGTGAAATTCGACAACAGAGTTTTCTTTAGAAACCGAAGTTACTCCGTGATTTCATGATCAACGCGTCCTTCCACGTACTCAGATAATGTTGCAGAACTATTTCACCCTATTTCGTTTGTGTTAATGCATGCTTAGTTTTCTCTAAGCTACTCATCTTTCAGGATTTCATCGTGAATTGACGTCGGTTAGGGGACCATTGGAAAACCTGAAGGGAGTACTGGAAAACTGCTTCCTCCGTTTTAGTTTTGGGACTCTTCGTTGGTACGCACCCACAGATCTTCGAGTGGGAAGTAGTGACCAGTAGGGTGCAGAAGGTCGGGTTGAGGACAAATACTCGCTGATGACATTCGCTAGTGGTTGTGCCATATCATAAATTGGCAGAAGTTGGAATTCATGGGTTGGTGGCCATTGGATCGGGTCAGAGTGGCTTAATGGTGTACTAGCTAGTCTCGTAAAAAATGTAAAAATGTTCCTGAGAGTGGGTCATGGTTCATGACTGTAATAGGAAAGTTAAAATTACATGAAATGCAGCAAATAAGATGCATTTTTATGGACGGAAAAAAATTTTTGTAGCCCAGTGATTTAAACTGGCCGCCAGATGAATCACTCTGAAAGACTCATATATTTTAGTAGATTGGTCAATGAATCTCTGTTTTATCCAACTAAATTTACTTATCTGAAACGTGTAATGTATTTGCCCAACACATTTCGGACAACATTCTGATCACACACGTACCTGTCATACACAGTTTCATAGAAGGCAAGAAGGCATTAATCATCACAATACAGATCACATTGTGTACAGGTCAAGGTCACAAGTAATGGGTAGGGAGATAACGAGAAGGCGTGGGTAAGAAAGAAAAGACAAATCAAAGAAGGGATTGAAAATATCATGAAGTAAATTGATCCTTGGTTCTAAATTGGATTACCAAGACAGGTGTAAAGTAGTAAGAAATAACTTTTGGACAAATAAGACAGGTTTAAGTCTTTTAATAGCCAAGGCTTCGACGAATTTAAGTATGTGACCCAATCTTGTTTTATATATGAACTTAAAGGCATTGTAGAAACCAACCTTATGACCCGTCTCCATAATATGCTTCACTATAGATGATGTTGGACATCTACTTCCGGGATCATTTGTATCTGGCAACTTTATTTGTTGTTGCAGCCACTTTGGAATATGTTCTGTAGTCCTAACCTGTAGAGACTGATGTGTCCTCCCTAAACCTGTCTTATTTGTCCAAAAGTTATTTCTTACTACTTTACACCTGCCTTGGTAATCCAATTTAGAACCAAGGATCAATTTACTTCATGATATTTTCAATCCCTTCTTTGATTTGTCTTTTCTTTCTTACCCACACCTTCGCGTCATCTCCCTACCCATTACTTGTGACCTTGACCTGTACACAATCTGACCTGTATTGTAATGACTAATGCCTTCTTGCCTTCTATAAAACTGTGTATGACAGGTACGTGTGTGATCAGAATGTTGTCCGAAGTGTGTTGCGTAAATACATTACACGTTTCAGATGACCTACGTCTTTTTATAGTATTGTTGAAATTCATAAAGGGAACTAATTGCTTTAAAATTCACTTAGTATCCATTTGATATGTAAACAAATTCCTCTACTAATTAGATAATTCATAAAATCTGTTTCCGAGTGTTTCAGAGTGAATGGTTCCATTTCTACAATTATGAATACTGTTCAGTAAATAATATACTATTTACTATGATGATCGATATAGATATCATCCGGTATCCATGAGGACTACATGATTAGGTCGTAGAAATGTTTAACACGGCTGTGATTACTGATAACAACCAAGGCACTGTGTCGATTAACTCCTCCTAAGATCAAAACTTGAGGTTGATCTGAATTAACTGCTTTATATAACTGCATTGAACATTACTTGATATTGGTTTGATCACAAGTCGACATCAGGTGGAGAATCAGGGAGTACTAGATATCTGTTTCGTCCTAGTTTGGGACTCTTCATCGCTGTGTATCCGCCGGGATTCAAACCAAGAACCTTCCGGTTACAAGACCAGGTTATAGACCATTCAGCGCCTAAGACCTGATTCAATAACACATAGATTCCAAATTCTGCCAATCTACGAGACATAACGCAAATGCTAGACAGTGTTGTCGGCAACCAATTGTTCTCTCAACTAACTTGTAACCAATCAAATCTCTGTTAACCAACGCTTGACAAATTGTCGATATTGTTTACACAACAACAGAAACACTTAACCTCAGGTAACCGAAATAGCTATTTAATTGTGTGATTGTATTAAATGATTTGTTTACGAATCTACTGGCCGATAATTTCCACCAATCACATAGTAGGCAGTAAGTTCACCAGCATTTTACACCAGATTACACTGCAATGCACCATTACGAACATTTCGTATAACTTTCTTCATTTTATCATTTGAAATAATTGAATATTTCCACAAATGAAGAATTTATAACATCGAATTCATTCATATACACATGAGTGGTTGTCAAGCTATTGTTTGAATACAGATTTATTTGTAATTTTATTTGCAACATCTCCATCAGTATGCGTAGATCAGGATCCTCTTATAAGCAGCACCACACGTCTACAAGTTCAGTTAACCAGATGAATTATCCTCAAACAGACAAACCTTCACCCTTCAAAAAGATATCCAATTCACTGCGTAACTCGCCAACATTTTCAACGCATTCAGCACCATTTCTTAATCAATTAACCGACCAAGGCGTGACACTGAAATCATCATCAGGTGTCTGTGAATCAAATCATGCTTCATTTTCTATGGCAAATGTTAAAGAAGTGTTAGAACGACTTAAAAATGAAGTGGAGGTAGAGCGAACCAGGCGAACAATGATAGCAAGACAAAGAAGTCAAGATATTTACAAGTTGACAACACGTTCGAAAGCAGAGAATCGTATCTTACTGTCAGCGCTGAAACATGCAGAAAATAAGGCGAAAATGTATCGAGATGAATATCATAAGCTTAAAAGTAAAGGTAAGTGACAAACAAACAGGAATGTTTCCTTCTACTGTAGGCATGTTTATATAATGAAGTGAACCTAGCTTATTGCGGATGATTGTGTTCCCCTGCAATTCCTCATAACAGTATTATTATAGACAGATTTATTGCTTTTGATGTAGTCGGTGGTCTAGTGATAGAATCTTGGCTAATTATATGTGTCATCCGTGTAAGATTACCGGCCGATCCATACCTAAGCCACGCCTAGCTGGTAGTAAGGCTGAAAGAGACGGAAGACTGAGAGGCGCCGCTAAGCTCCGATAGCCACCACCACCACTAACCTTACCGTAGATAATGAAAAAATAATCAGAATTAAAGTGCAATAAAAGTCGTGAAGTTGCTACGAACGGATAATCAGAGGTAATGGTGTTCTGATTCTGAAGTGTTGGTTTTCTGGGATTTGGTTGGCTACTGGTTTGATCGTGAGCTGATATCAGTTAGAGAACCACTGGAAATCACCAGGGAGTACTGAGTAGCTTTATCGTTCCAGTTTGAGGGTTTTCAGGAGCACACACCTACCGGGATTCCAGTCGAGGGCCTTCCGGTTACAAAGTGTGTTTGTAGACCATTCAGCCACTGAAACTCTATCCAGTGTCCCATGACTTCCATAGATGAGTAGCTGTTCTCTTACCCGACTTGTTGGACCCTGCTGGATGTGACTTCTCTCTAGAACTCCACGTAAATTACTATATAAAACCAATCGGTAGTGACCATCAGATTAATTTTCAAGTGTCGCTTTGCAGGGATTTAATTGGTTAGAGGTTTGATCAGGAGCCGAAATCTGATGAATATATATATATATATATAGCATTACAAACCGCCTCAAAGTAATACTGTGCAGTGTACAGAAGGATAGAATGGGTATTGATTTGCACCAACTGTCTAAAAGTCAATTGAAAGAGTCGCAAACAAATCCACACCTCATCAGTGGTCGAACAGACTTCAAGACCAATTAGTTACTACTATACTGCATGAAGAGACAATTCTCTGCTAAATGGCAACTAATGTAACCAGAAGGTCCTGGGTTCGAATCCTGGCGGTGGGTACGTGCCGATGAAGAGTCCCAAACTAGGACTAAGGAAACAGCTGTCCAGTACTCCCTGCAGGTTTTCCAATGGTCCTCTAACCGATGTCAGTTCATGATGAAATCCTGTAACCAATGAAATCAAATCCTTGGAGACCAATACTCAAATTTAATTTCACTTGTTAGATGTCGTCACGAACCGCCATCAGTTACAGAGATCAATAAAAACTAGGCTTTGAATGGCTGTTTAGTCTTATTTCGACAGGTTTCAGTACTGAGAACCAACGGACTTGCTTGGGATCAAACCGGAACCTTCAGGTTAGGCTAGATTTCAGAGATCCGTGAATTCTAAGTTGGTCAACTCGTGATATAGCGCTACCCTCACCAGTACATCCATTTTCGACCCAATCGACTGATTGATCAACAAATTTTGTCCGGTAACCTTAACTTCCCGGGTTCCATCCCTGGCTGGGTTGTAGGCTCACAATACTAAGGAGTCCCGCACTAGGACCAAACAGCTTTCTAGTACTTTCTGGTTCTCAATGTTCCCTCTAACTGATGTTAGTTCGTGACAGAAGTTTAACAACTGAAAATACATTATTCCATGTTCTCACAAGATCCCATAATCAAAATTAGTAAAACAACTGTTACTAGGATTTCTTACACGGGGAATAAAAGAATTTCTCATGAAAAGGAGTGAATTTAACAAACATGATTCTACAGGCTAAATTCGTTTATCTCATTATAATATGTTCATGGTCAAAAGATGCTTTCTTCAGCTTAGAATGTAAGGTCATTCATACACTTGATTTGAGATTTGGAACTATTTGGGAGATTTTCCATTGAGGGTGGCCATACTTACAGACGGAAGAACACGAAAAATTGACTCAGAAACAGTATGCAACTTAATCACTGTTCGATAGAACTTATGTTATTCATAGTATGTTCAAATGTTCGTATATCACTGATACTGTAATCAATGAGGTCATATCATCCTTATAATATCTGTAAATAGTTTATACACTGTAAAATAGATGAATAAATTATAACCGTATTTCAAAGGCTGTTTACACAAAGTGATATTTTTTTTGATTTAGCAGCAGTACTACGGCCTGGGATCACACCAGCTGTTGGAATCGTTTTGTTTTTTTAATTCACACATATACCTAGCCCATTTGGTTTTTATTCACTTTTGCAAATCTAGAATTATATTGTGAGTTGTTGTGCTGAATTACGTTTGTTACATGTGTTTTCGCGAGGGTGATATTAATGAATATAGATTCTGTTAATCAGTCTTTCTTCTCATTTGTTCAGAATGGATTTCAGAATACAAGTATTCTCCCAGTCAGTGGGAGGCATTATGGCGTACTAGAGATGAATCCGGCCATACTATTAGAGTAAATCCATTTTTATATTACTTTCTCGTTAGTGCTTTCTTCAACATCAGTAATAGTTTTGTTGTCATATGATGTACATTCTTCCCTAAAACAATAATACACCTCAGTGATCAATGCATATTTAAACTAGACAGTAGTTGAAATGGTCTATATATATATATATATATATAATAAGATTGAAAGAATGGTCTTAAACGATTTTAGTTATTTATTAGAAATTCTAAACGTTCAATAAATTAAAATTCTTTAGGGTCGAAAAAAGTTATGCAATGAAATGCACACAATACTTGAGTACTCTTATAACTAACGAATCAACGTACAATCTTGCAATTAACTGGATTAATTCATATTGTCACACTCCGAAAATGGTCATGATAAAGGTAACAAAAATGGAATGACATGTATTGGTGTGTAATGGATAGAATAATCAGTTAAAAATCAGTGTAGCTTTTATTATTCGAAAGATGGTATTTAGCATATATAGCTGTTCTATAATGAACTGTTGTAGGTCATCCCCACTCATTGATTCTTAGCGTCTCAAAACCCCCAGCCAAAGCATTATCCACTAGGCGTTTGAAATGATGAGTGCAAGGTTCCAGCCTCAGTGAGAGAGCAAAAGTACTCACTGGGGATTCAGGTTCATCCATCTGACGAGTACCGCATAGTTTTGACTGCTGGTCACCATCAGCTGAAGTGGCGAAAGTTTATTCTTTTAGAATTATTCGCTATGCACTACAATTTGGCATAAAAGTTATTCTAAAGGGGGATTTATACCCAGATAAGTTGATCAGTGAAGCATAACCTTTATTGTGCTGTGATGTCTTGAGTGTGTTAACTAAATAGCATTGTGGTTCATTGGCTTAATAGATTAACTTTCTGCCAAATGGGTCTCAGGTTTCAATCCCATTCCACCTATTTCAGCCTGAACGATTGGGTTGTAATATGACTCCTCACTCAAAAAGTATGATTCACAGTCTATTCTGAGTAACTCCGTTACAACAATAACTAAGTATTATTAATTGAATTTACACTGTGGTGAATAAGCCAGGAGATTTCCAATCGCAATGTGTTTCACTTGATCTCTGTTAAAGTCTTCATCAAAATGTTATAGCTTGATACTACTCATCAGCAAAATGTACGTACAAGTCCTAGTGGGAAGTCGTCACCAGTAGGGTACAGCAGGTCGGTTGGGAGGACAAATACTCGCTGAAGACATTTGCTAGTGGTCGCGCTATGTTGTGAATTGGCAGAAGTTGGAATTCGTGGGCTGGCCATTGGATTGGGTCCCAGTGGCTTAATAGTCTACGAGATTGCCTTGTAACCAGAAGGCCCTGGGTTCGAACCCCAGTGGGTGCGTGAATAGTCCCAAACTACAACGAAACAGATGTCCAGTAATTCCGGGTTTTCCAATGGTTCTTTAACCGATGTCGGCTCATGATGAAATCCTGTTACCAATCAATCAATTCCCTACAAACAAATACTTGAGTAGGTCTAATGTATTTCAATGGTGAAAGTCGTCGCCAACTAACATTAGGACAAAATACATCTTGAAAATCTTTTCCTTTTTATACTGAATCTATATATACCACCTGAATGCTTAATTTTTTAGGATTCAGAGGTTGGATTGATTTCAAGGCTGATTCCGTCATGGATTGAAATTAAGGATTGACTATATAATCGTGGAATAGGATGTGTACCCACGCCTCTACCAGCTATGAAAACTATGATTATTGGTTCGCCAGGTGAAGGCGTTGCTATTCGCTGAATGTTTCAGATTTCAGGGATTGATTGTTACTCAGTCTCCTATGATTCACGATACCATCACCCAACATCTTTGCTATCATAATCAAAAGAAACAGAAAGTTACGATTCGCAGTGCGTCGGTGGCACAGTGGTTAGGACTCTCCCGACCATTCATAGGGTCGGGGTTCGATCCCCTGCCGACGCACACCTGATATCAATGGTTGGCCTGCAAAATTTGGGCTACCGATATCACATGCTGAAAATTCCATACTTGTACCAAAACTACAGTGCGGAATCAAGCTATGATAAAAAAAAATTCATGTTCTACAATGTGCTAACGTTGCACACAGTCAAAAATGAACAACGCTGTTTTAAGAAGCACAAGTGAAGACTTGAAAAGGTGTATTGTTGACGAAATCGAATTTCAAAAAGCGCGAGGTGAACAAAAAAGTGCATAACCGCGTAAACATACATATGTGTAACAAACGGAAAGCAATATTCAATAATACAATGGCAAATATTCAACAAGCATAAGTAAAAGTATAGGTCAAGGTACCTGCGGATTGGAGGAAAGGCTAATTATTCAAACTGTCAGAGAAAGGGGACTTAGGTCAATGCAAGAACTGGCGCGAAATTATGCTCCTGTCCATCCTAAGCAAAATACTAAACCACGGCATCCTGGAGAGAATCAAACACGCCACTCTGGATGGAAAACTTCGATTGGAACAGGCTGGATTCAGGAGGAATGGGTCATGCATCGATCAAATCGCAACACAACGAATCCTCATTGAACAGAGCTTGGGATGTCAGCCAGCTCTCCATCTCAACTTCAATGACTTTGAAAAGGCCTTCGACAGCGTCGATCGTGAGGTGATTTGGTAACTGTTTCGCCTTTAAGGGGTGCCGCCGACAATTATATATCTCATCCAAAAGTTGTAAGACAACGCTGCATGCCAAGTAATCTACAGCGGGAAACTCACAGAATCCTTCGAAGTGAAGACGGGAGTAAAACAAAGCTGGCTGACTGCCTACAATCTCCAATGATTTTCCTGATCGCGGTAGACTGTATAATGCGATAGACAGTGGTGGGCAGCGAGGAAGCAGGCATAAAATAGACCCCTACACACAAAATCTTGGAGGATCTAGACTTCGCCGGTGATGATATATGTCTGATTTCCCACAAACTGGAAGATATGCAAGTGGAAAGCAACAAGTTGGCAGAAGAAGCATCTAGAGAAGATAGGAAGGACTTCAGGCGAACATAGAGAAAACAGAGGTGATGAAGATTCCTGGCCAACAACAACAGCCACAGTCACAACAACAGAAAACAATCTGAAAGAAGCAGTCTCCTTCACCTACTGACCTATGTGGGAAACATCGTTTCAACTCCAGGTGGACGGAATTGATGAGGGTATCAAAGCGAGGATCGGGAAAGCAAGATAACCATTCATTACTCTCAAGTCTGTGTGAAGGTCAACAGCACTCAGCAGAAAAAATAAGATCCGGATTTTCAACTCCAATGTGAAGTCAGTGCTACTCACCATATGGATCAGAGACTTGGCTAACGCGTCACAAAGGGCACTTCGACGAAACTACAGACTTTCATCAACAACTGTCTTCGCTCAATACTACTCACGATCAGTTGGCCGTCCAGAAAAGACCAGCAACAGGAATCTCTGGGAGCAGGAACCGATTGTGCAACAAATATGCAGGAAAAATGTAGGTGGATTGGAGGCCACATTCTGAGAAAACAAACCATTAACTGACATCACACGCCAGGCCATGCATTGCTCGAGTGGAACTCGAATGGGAAGCGGCGAGTTTCTTGTCAGTGTGAGGGCGACATGGAGGAGGTCATGAGAACAAGAGATGGAAACATGTGGGCAGACGTTGAGCCACGTGAAAATGTTGGCAGAGAACCGAACGTAATGGAGACGTGCGGCTGAAGCCCTATTTTCCTCTAGGAACTAAAGGAAATACTAATATAATAATAAGTAAAATTATTTTTTTAAGCGTATAATATGCGTAAATGAATCAGTTTCACATCATAAGATAACAAAGCTTTCCTAGTAGAAGTTGCGCCTGTAGTTGTCCACATTAGGGAGGATCACAAATACTTTGATTAGATATTCAAGTATTGGTTTGTAGGGAGTTGGTTGATTGGTTACAAGATTTCATCATGAGCTGACATTGGCTAGAGAACCATTGGGAAACCTGCAGGAAGTGGTGGACAGCTGTTTCGTCCTAGTTTGGGACTCTTCACAGTACGCACTCACCACCAGGGTTCGAGCCCAGGACCTTCTGGTTACCAGGCGAGCTCGTATACCATTAAGCCACTGGGACCCGATCCAATGGCCTTTAATTAGACACTAGTAACTACTGTAATATGTCTAGTCCTTTCTTTGATGCAGACTGAATTCTATCAGTCAGGTTCGCAATATGGTCATCATTCTAGGGAGCTCGCCATCACGGTCCAAAGCTTCCTGCCGATTGCCTCCAACCATCTAAAATCATCAAATCAATGTGCACCGTGATGGCGAGCTACCTAGAATGGTGGCCACATTGCAAACCTGACTGATAGAATTCAGTCTGCACCAAAGAAAGGACTAGACACATCACACTAGTTACTGACTAATATCCAATCAAAACATCCACTACAGTCCTACAGGAGGTCAATCGCGAGCCCGAATAGCTGGCTCAGTGGTAACGTCTCTGACTGCAGCAATCACTGGGTGACGCGGGTTCGAATCTCAGAAGGGACATGAGTTCCTTCAAGGTAGCAGATACACCTTGCTGACAAGTGCCAACTAGCACGAAACTTAGATCAAGCAAGGCTTCCTGCCGATTGCCTCCAACCATCCAATGTCATGAGATCACAAATGTCGCACTATGTCCACTTATCGCTATTTTATGAATGTGCGCCTTTTGGGTAACTTGGTGTTTGACCTGACTAGTTGACTTTATATGCAATTTTTGTCTTGTTCTCTCATTACAACCGATTTTCAAGCTAACAAAGTAGGCTTTATAATAATTTCATTAGTGTATGTACTAATTTAATTCCAAGGGGAGGAAATAGTCGGTGGATGTAGGGTAATATAATCAATCCTGTTAGTGATTTGTGCCGTCTATGGTGTTATGTATATTTTCTTGATAAGCATTTCCCGGTTAAGTTACCAGGATGACCATTTGCTTTAGACACACAATGAATTTTATAGAATGTATGTTCAGTGGCGTATCTCTGCTCTTCGAAATAATGTCTAAACGTAAGATTTCTGATCAGTTATCAGATGACTGCTGTTTAAATAGTTTAAATCGTGATCGGCGTTAGTAGCTTTTCTCTGCATTTACAACAGTAGAATCCCATCTTCGGTTCTTTTGATCAGCAATCCTATTTCGGAATACATATATATATATATTTATGGTGCATCGGTGGTGCAGAGATAGAATGCCCACCAACCACTCACGTGGTCCGCGTTTCAAATCCCGGCGGACGCACTACCAAACCTCTCTTAGCTGATAATAAGCTGGGTAAAGAGGGGAGGTTGGGCATGAGACAAACAACTCCTCCCCAAACCGGTAAAAATAAAACAATTGCTACTGAAACTTCAAAGGTCTAGCGTGAAGCTCTATGTCTTACTGAAAACGCAAAGGAGTTTAATAAAATAAATTCATAAGTATATATTCCATTATGGGTAAAATTTATTTTGATAAAGTTTCATAGTGTTATACAGTAGTGTTTACTGATGAAATAAAACAGATAGAAGAGGCATTGGTGTAAAATAACTATCCTATAAAATTCAATAGGAAGATCAGAAAAGGCCAAAAGCCAAATAAAAATAATTGTGAAACTAGTAATAAGAACATAAATAAGAGAGAATACAAGTCATCTACAGTTATACCATATAAAGAGGGGACATCTGAGACCCTACGTAGGATTCTAAATAAAGCAGGAATTAGGGTGGCATTTAAACCTACAAACTCACTCATAAACAAGCTGTGTAGCTTAAAGGACCCTGTTGATCCAATTACACAAAACAATATAATTTACAAAATAGCTTGGAACGACTGTGAGTTAAGTCAACTACATAGGTCAAACTAGTAGGTTGGGTGTAGTCAGATTGTCGAAACATAAGAATTTAGCTAAGATTAGAATGGTTGACCCCGAAAAGATGAGTAATTTAGAAAAATCTCAGCACTACATTGTATTGCATGCATTAACACACAACCACAAAATAGCATGGTGGAGAGGGTTAAAGTTCTAAAATGTTATATGGGTAGGTGGAGAGAGACATAGGTTGATTACTGAATCCTTGTTCATCGAGTCTACACACAACATGTGCAATAGGAACGACTCGTCACTCACACCGGAAATATGGAAAATACTACCACTAATCAAGTCAAGCAATGGAAAATAATGAAACTATATAAACGAACTTAGGAAGTTGTGTGATTGAGTACCTTGATATTGGGATTATGAGCAGTGATAAATTGTGCTCGAAACGTGGTCATCAGTAAATATTACTGTATAACAACACTGCGTGACTATATCAAAACATAATTTCACCCATAATGGAATTATACTCTTCCACTGTGTACAAGTTTTATCCTTATATCATAAGTATATAGTCATCTAAATTTTTATTTCTTTTCTTAAAATGGCATAACAGTTCAGGGGAAATTTTCGAATTCTGGACAAGAAAATGTTAAATTGACAAATGGGCATAATGAAATTCACAATAATGATCAATATCAGAGTAGGAAGGAATCAATAAAGACTCAATCCGATTGGACAATTAACAGAAAAGTGAGTACTTCCAATCCTTTTTTGTTAACTTATGCATTACAAATGGTTTGAATTTCATTATAGTGGTAATGTTTGAATTATTTAAGCGTATACATTTTATTCCATTATATATATTTGATGAACTGAAAGTTTGACGACGTTTGTTTGACAAAAATGGAGATTTCTAGCTCATATGAGTGTTTCCCACGTTGGTGTTTTATCTGAGCTAGATGGCTTATTTACGAAGCTTTCATTCTCCTTTTGAACAACAGTTTCAGCGTCAACTTCAAAATCAAGATATTTAATGACTGAACAAAGGTTATCTTGGTTAAAATGGATCATGGAGGATTTCATCATGAGCTGACATCAGTTAGAGAACCACTGGAAAACCACCTGGGAGTACTGAACAGCTGTTTCTTCCTAGTTTGTGACTCTTCAGTAGTACTCACACACCACCAGGGTTCGAACCCAGGATCTTCTGGTTACAAGGCGAGCTCGTAGACCATTGGGCCAATGGGACCTAATCCAATGGTCCTTGAATTCTAACTTCTGCCAATTCAACTTGCTGTACCCTACTGGTCATGGCTTCCCACTAGAACTCCAGGTTAACTGCCTGAATAGGGCCAGTCGCTTGTGAGCATCAGATTAATTTTCAAGTATTGGTTTTGTAGGGTACAGCAGGTTGAAGATGAGGCAGTAACTCATCGAAGAAGACATTGCGAAGTGGTCGCGCTATGTCGTGAATTGGCAGAAGTTAGAATTCAAGGACCATTGGATCGAGTCCCAGTGGCTCAATGGTCTACGAGCTTGCCTTGTAACCAGAAGATCCTGGGTTTGAATCCCGGTGGGTGCGTACTGATGAAGAGTCCCAAACTAGGACGAAGGAAACAGTTGTCCAGTACTCCCAGTTTTTCCAGTGGTTCTCTAACTGATGTCAGCTCATGATGAAATCCTCCATGCAATCAAACAAAAAAGTCCCTATAAATCTAATACTTAAAATGGATTAGTTTTAGGCATATAGAGACAGAATGGAACAAAGTGAGATTTGAAGCAGTAGTCACTTAGTCCACAAATTGTGGAAACTCAAGTTGTATTTCAGGAACAATAGTTATCCACATACGCTTATATGCTGTCAAAACACAAAGTGGTAAAATAGGGTGAGAAATATTGAGGTTAGGCATCGGTCGAGTGCTAGGAGGGGAAATCAATCTGTGAGGCTGTTAAGCTACATCGACTGAGATGGTTAGGACATGTGTTACGTATGCCTAGTCATCGCCTTCCTCGACGGGTAATGTTAGCTGACATAGGATCAGGCTGGAAAAGAGCCAGTGGCGGTCAAACCAAAACGTGGCCTCATCAGTCAATGAAATCCAGTTTAAGCCACATAGGAAGGTGTAGACTTCCTGGTTGGGGTTCTCGGGACAGTAAAAACCAATGAAGGCTGGAGACAATCGGTGATATGGCTCAAAATCGTTCTCACTGATGGCTGGCACAGATGCATCCACTCCTTGTGACTTATAACACCCAATAAAACCAAATTGTTCTTCGATATTACTATTCCTTTTTACTCCCGACCGAAAGCTGCTACCTTGACGTGGTGGTCGGGCTTGAACACTGCAATGACCCAACAAGCTATACTGGCTGGAACTTATGTTCCTGCAGGTCCTACCATGCCAGAAAGGTTGTTTGGATAGCAGTTAGACTAAAAGCAGTTACCCAATCCAATCCTATGATTTCAAATAAATCACAAAATATCATGCCGGATCGGTCGGGGCCCGGATTAACAACGACCGCGCTTTCTGCTGCCGTGTCACAGGGCAGAAGTGATAAATACGCTACTGAGACACACCAAATAAAAAAGAACAAACAAAAACAGGCCGTGTGTGACCGGCCTCAAGCAGTTGTCCCCTGGGCTCTGCGGTCACGCAACCAACTTCCACGGTGTGGGCAGCCGGGAAGTAACAATCGCCCTCACAATCCGAAGTGCACGCGAAACCCCTCTAATCCTCGCTCATCTTTGTCTTCATCTTCATCTCTATTATCTTGCCTTCCTTCTACCAATGCAACTCCTCTACTTGTTGGCTCTTCACTTCCCCTTCACTCTGTGTGCACTGATAACGATGGAAGCCAAAAAGCCACCACCGATTGTCTCCTAAAACCACGCCACCAATTTTATATAGGAGCATTTAATGTTAGGACACTTTGCCAAATAGGACAACAAGCATCACTAGCCAAGACTCTGGCATCCCGAGCCATTGATGTATGTTGTGTTTCAGAAACACGCATACAAGACCCAAGTGTGGTTATTCACCTAACCCCACCTGGCCAACAGGATGAATCTGCAAAATTCACCTTGAGGGTGTCAGGAGATGCGACGGCTAGCTCACGAGGATTAGCTGGTGTTGGGATAGCTTTAAGTACTAGAGCAGAAAAGACATTACTTGACTGGATCCCGGTAGATAGCCGAATGTGCGCTGTCCGCCTGAACGGATCAGTGAAAAGGAGAAAGGACTGCACTACTCGCCGATGCCTTTTCGTAATCTCAGCCTACGCCCCCACTGACTGCAGTTAGGATGAAACGAAGGATGAGTTCTACCAAAAGCTGTCTAGTTTGCTGCGAAAGGCTAGACGCTCAGATATAGTCGTTTTAGCTGGTGACTTTAATGCTCAAGTAGGGAAATTGTGTCAATCTGAGAAGAATGTTGGTGGCACATACGGAATTCCGTGCCAGCGAACCGACAACGGTGACCGTCTCCTACAGTTCTGTTCAGATAATCATTTGTATCTTGTAAGCACTAACTTCAAACACAAGGAGAGACACTGTTTGACCTGGCGACCCCCATCATCAAATCAACGCTGGACACAAATAGACCACATAGCAATAAGCTATCGTTGGCGTGGGTCGGTAGGAGATTGTCGCTCCTTCTGGAACACGTGTGTAGATACCGATCACGCACTGGTCCGTGCTCGTGTGTGCTTACGACTGAACGGACGTAGGAAACAGCTGGCGGTAAACCCATCACGTCCCCAGCTCGACCAGGGAACTAAGTCCCTATTTGAGGAAGAACTAGCTAAACACATATTTGAGTTTGACAGCTGCGCTCACCCTGAAGAAGCCTGGAAGAATATTCAGTCAGCCATAGATACAGCTGTAAAAGCTGTGAATAAGGTAAATCCAAAGGTGAGTAAAAACCATTGGATTTCGACTGCCTCATCCGAACTGATAGATGCTAGAAGACTTATTCCGGCGAGCTCCGAATTCAATGAGGAGCGAAAGCTGCACAAGAGGAAACTTACGAAAAGTCTCCGCAAGGACCGTGAACAGACGTGGTTGACTAAGGCGAAAGAGATGGAAAAAGCATCGGCGATAGGCAACACCAGACAACTATTCAGGCTTATCAGGGAAACAGGTGGTAAAAAACAAATGATAAGCGAAACAATCTCCGAGAAAAATGGCACCATAATTAGCTCCCAGGATAGACGTCTGGAGCGCTGGAAAGAACACTATGAGGAGCAGTTTAATTGGCCCACAGCCACACTTAACCTACCGGACATCCAACACCTCCCTGAATGGGAGATAGACACAGGTCCTCCGTCCTTAACCGAGGTTACTAAAGCTGTCACCAATCTGAAGCTAGGCAAAGCAGCGGGACCTGATTTATTGACTCCAGAGGTATTTAAGTACGGAGGCGACAGTTTACTGTCTGCGTTAACGGAGGTTCTAGGCAGCGTTTGGAAATCAGAGGAAGTCCCATCGGGTTGGTGTAAGTCACTGATCATCCCGATATACAAGAAGGGGGACAAGTCGTCTTGTGATAATCACAGAGGGATTAGCTTGACTAATATAGTATCTAAAATCCTAGGCTCAATAATACTGCGTAGATTAAGTGGTGCTCGGGAGACACAAACACGAGAAAACCAGGCAGGTTTTAGGCCAGGTAGAGGGTGTATTGATCACATCTTCACTCTTCGACAGATTCTAGAACATAGGCATTCCTACCGGCGTCCGACAATCATTATATTTCTTGACCTAAAGGCGGCATTCGATTCTGTCGACCGGGAGGTTCTCTGGCGATGCTTGGCTGTAAAGGGAATGCCAAGAAAATACATTGCACTGATTAAGGCACTCTACTCGTACTCATGTAGCCAGGTGAGGGCTTATGGCGAGTTGTCATCTGAAGTGGTGACGACTAGTGGCGTCCGTCAAGGATGCCCATTATCCCCATTCCTATTCAACTTCATCATAGATGTACTAATGGACTTAACCCTAACTCACTTCAGCGACTCAGGCATTGACTTGCTACCAGGGAATAATCTCATTGACTTAGAATATGCAGACGATATAGTCCTTCTAGGCGAGGACTCTGACAAAATGCAGAGTTTACTGAACACCCTGAGCAACAATCTCCGCATGTTTGGCATGCGATTCGCCCCTATAAAATGTAAGATGATGCTGCAGGATTGGACTTCATCGACCCCTAGATTAGAAATAGGAAGTGAAGTGGTAGAACACGTTGACCGCTTCACTTACTTGGGAAGTACCATCAGCCCAAACGGGTTGATCTCCGACGAAATTTCAGCACGAATACAGAGGGCTAGGTTCGCATATGCCAGTTTTCGCCGTCTCTGGCGTAGACGCGATATCCGACTATCGACCAAAGGGCGTGTGTACTGCTCATCAGTCCGCTCCGTCCTCCTTTATGGCTGTGAGACCTGGCCATTGAGAGCAGAAGACATGGAAAGATTAGCTGTCTTCGATCATAAGTGTCTGCGTTCTATCTCCCGCGTGAAGTGGTATAATAAGGTGAGCAATATTGAATTTAGGCGTCGAGTGCTAGGTAAGGCGGGGAAATCAATCGACGAGACTGTGAAATTACGTCGACTGAGATGTTTGGGACATGTGCTACGTATGCCTAGTCATCGCCTTCCTCGACGGGCAATGTTAGCTGATATAGGGCCAGGCTGGAAAAGAGCTAGCGGCGGTCAAACGAAAACATTGCACCAGTCAATGAAATCCACAACAGTTAGTCTAAGCCACGTAGGAAGATGTAGACTTCCTGGATGGGGCCCTC